TTCAAAGTGACACTTTTGAATCTAGAAGAGATCAAGATTTTAAATAACAAATTTTTTTCACAAGCATTTTGTTTGATAAATCCTTCGCAATTCATTTTGGAAACAAAATGAATTTGCAAAAGGATTTAGACTCTCTTTTGAATGGGGAGAGACCTACCGAAAGGATTTATAATTATCCTAGTCATATTTGAATAACTATGCATCAAGTTAATCCCCTTACAAGTTTTAAGTGATCAAATAGCCGGGTGTAGCATCCTACACTGGCGAGAGTGAGTTCCCTTCTCACACTCGATTTCTAAATGCAACTAAGCAAATAAGCAATTAAAGCTCCCATCCCATTGGTTAAGTGAAGGCTCTAATTATTTAGTGAGTAGTTCTAAATTAGTGAAACAATATTAAGTGGTTAATCATATTCAAATGAAATGCATACTCATAATGAAACAAGTAATAAGTATCCAAAATAGGGTTCATAGTAGTGGGGTGCCTGCTTGTTGCAAGAGCAAGGTTCCCAATAGCTTGGAACATCATTTGGCGTCTCTCCGATATCGTGTACCTATATGTGTGCACATGTATGAGATATTTATGATTATGCATGCAAGACATTATATGAGATGGAGAACATAGGAGAGATAGCATGAGGCGAGAGAGGTTCGGTGTGTGTAACATAGTCTTAATGTGATGTCGGTATGCACTGACGGACACTCCGTCATGGCTCACGGACATTCTGTCAGGTTTGGGACTTAGACATCTTTAGTCTTTAGTCCTTATCGGACGGTCCGTGATAATCGACAGACACTCCGGTATGAACTGGGAGTTCTTGGGCTCTCTAAAGTTTCATGCTTATAATTCAGCGGAACCTTCCATGAATGTCATGGACTCTCGGATGGAAATTGGGTGTTCTCGTGTTTCCTAAGGGACAAGCTATATAACTCGGCAGACGCTCCGGTGGTGACCGCGGATACTCCGCCAAATTATAATATGTGAGACACAAAGGATAAGCTTAAGTGCATGAATGCAATGAGACGATGCACCAAACAAGTTTCATAGATGGCACATGCTTAAAGAAGGCTAACAAAACAAGTTTCATCATTTTTGGACACCTAGAGAATAAGTTGTCTATTTATTAAACTAAAAATGCATTATTTTAAGTCCAAATTAAAATATATGTTTTGGTGTCAAAATCATGTTTAGATGATAGATAATATTCTAAGAAACACAACAAAACTTGTTTCACAATTTTTGGAGTTCAAATGCATCTTCTATTAATTTAACAAGTTAGGGTTGTGCGGTGCCTATAATTTATCGGACACTCCGCCAAGAACGACGGATCATCTGCCAAACCAAGGCTGCATTCGGGTTGGATTGGCTATAAATCAGCGGACACTCCTCCAAAATGATGGACCATCCGCCAAACCACGAACAGTAGGTTGTTCTTACAATCTCGAAATGTAAAGTTGGATCTAGGGGTTTTGCATGTTCAAACCATCTTCATGGTAGCTTCCTAGCATCCTATAGAGCATATATAGCTAGGTGATTCCAACTACAAAGTGTGCAAACAAGCTCTAGGCCGCCTTTTGCCATTTCTAGGGTTGGTGCTCATGTGAAGCAAGAAATTGGGTTTGGCTGATTTGATTCTTACCAAGGGCAGCAAAGAAAGGTTGTAAGCTTCTCAAGATGATGGAGAAGCTGGATCTTTTCCTTGGTAGCTCGAGCTCCCTTCCTCTTCTTGCCTTCTCCTTCTTGCTCCAAAATGATGAGGATGAGAGGGCTCCCCTCCCTCTTCCAATCCCCACCTCTTGTGGTTAGCCACTCCTAGGTCGAATCCATGGTGATGAGCAGCTGCAGCAACCTCCAATCCCTTCTCCTTCCCTTCCCCTCTTCTTCCTCTTCCTTGCTTTGCTTTGGGTGGATGAGAGAGTAGACAGAGAGAGCAAGAACTAGAGAGAGAGGGTGTGTGAGAATGAGATAGGGAGCTGGCTGTGACTGTTGGTTTGGTCAGCCACGAGCTGGACAGCTGTGGGGTGGTGTGGGGTCCATTTTCTCCTCCAAGTGACACCTCAACTCTGTTGCATGGGTTGTTTTTGCGGACAGTCCGCCATGGCAACGGATGGTTCAGTGGTGCCTGACCGTGCCTAACAAACTGACAGACTGTTCAAAGCCCGAGTTTGGTTTTGGATAATTGTTGAAACCTATGGACTAATGCTTGAGCTAAGTGTGTAGATAAGAGAGGATGGTCCAAAGCCAAGTGATGGAGCATGATGATGAAGTCCATGGAGATGGAGATGGACATGTGATGATGGTGATCAAGCTCCAACTTGGAAAAGAAGAAAGAAAAAAACAAAAACCAAGTGTGTTCAAGACAAAGGTATCAAATAGATTTTTGTTTTGACACTCAAGACACCAGAGAGGGTGTGGGTGTGTTTAGGATCAATAGCCGTACTAAAAAGAGAGAAAATCTTTGGCTAAGCGGTTATCGAGTGCCACTAGGTGAAGTGATTCATGCATATGCATTTTAGGACCTAGTGTGCTAACAACTAACCCTTGAAAATGCTTTGAAAATATGCTAACACACTTGCACAAGTGGTGAGGCACTTTGGTGTTGACACATGGAAGCAAGGGTGAAGTGAAAAGGAAGAGAAGGGGTCACTCACAGGTAACAGGACGCATCCGGTGCTTGACCCTAGGTGGTGCAGCACTTGGCCATGAGGGCCGAGTTGGGACCGGACGCAGGACCGGACCCAGGCGCAGCGTCCGGTCATGCATGGTAGAGATGGCGCTGCTCGAGCGGTCGATCGGACCCAGGTGAGGTCACGCGACCAGACGTTGGGTGAACACTGTTCAAACTTCCGGTCACGGCGCTGAGAGGCGCGCAAAACTGAGCGATGAAGACCAGACGCCGGACGTGTCAGGTCATCACTGACCGGACGCGTCCGGTCTCCAAAAATGCGTTGTGGAACCTTTCTATACACGACCAGACTCTGTGTTGTGCCGATCCGGTCAGTCTTACAGCACGTCCAGTCACACTTTGACTGTGCGAGTGAACATTAAGTGACCGTTGTGATCTAACACGAGATTCAAATTAAAGGATAGACACGTGGCTGGCATAGGCCGACCGGACGTTGGAGACTGGACGCTAGGGTGCGTCCAGTCAGTGAGTCTGGTCATGCCTGCACAGCCCAACGGCTCTCTGAGCCTTGGGGGCTCTATAAATAGAGTTGGGCCGGCTCTAGCTCACTCACTTGTACATTTTCATCAGTGATATATTCTTGTGAGCTAAAGCAAATACCTCACACTCATCTCCATCATTCATTCATCGTCAAAGTAGGATTAGGAGTGATTCCTAGTGCATTTGCTTGAGTGATTGCATCTAGTGGCACTAGGGGATCGTTGTGGCTGCAGATTTCTTGTTACTCTTGGTGTTTACCGGCACCTAGACGGCTTGGAGGAGCGGAGGAGCATTGACACGAGTTGGTGATTGTTCGTGGCCATCTCCCGGTGATTGTGAGGGGTCTTATACCTTCCCCGGCGGAGAGCCGAAAGAGTGCCTCCCAAATCTCTTCTTTGCGCAGACGCGCACGCGTGTCGTGTGAATGTGGACTATGTGCGTCCAAGTTGTACCCAGTCAAAAAAATTACAATATCTTCTTTGTATGTGTACGGACATGCATGCGTGTATGTACATGTGGTGTGAGTGTAGAGTGTGTAGATTGTGTGCGTTTAAGTTGTACCTGATAAAAAAAATAGTAGAGCTGACGGTACACGATTGAAGGACAGTTGGGTGGGTGCACGCACAGGTGACAGATGTGTTCTACTCCTCTGCCGCTGCACGCTTATACCATGGCGCCCTCAGCGGCCTGGTAGGGCGGTCGTCCTGTTCGCTTGGCTTATAAGCCGTATTTTTTTAGTCAATAAACAGTATTTTTCTCTTACAACAAATCAGCTAATAGTACTTTCAACCATGACTTATCAGCAAAGCGAACAGGGCAACCGAGGATGGCGGAGGCAATCGCAGAGACGGTGGAAGAAGTTGACGACGGGCTTGATGCGCGACAGGAGCACGAACACCGGACCCAGCGCGCCTCCGGTCACCGTCACGATCGCCATTGGCTCCATGGCCTTGCCCTGTCTGATTTGATCTCCCTGCAGAGATGGAAGAAACCTTGACCTCAGGCAGTTGCACAAATTCGTGAACGCTCGTGGCAGACCGGCACAGGAGAGAGACTATGAGAGGAGGCGCAGATTTATGCAGGACGTCAACAACCTGGTGTTAGAGACGTTCCACGGTAACTGCAGGGTGGCCTCCATGCCGGTGCGGAGCGGTTATGGATGCATGGTTGAGGAACGTACTCCACTTTGTTGCACTACCTATTACTACAGCCGTTCAGTTCCAGAATTAAAGCATCACTTTTCGGTTACCCAAGGGTACATCAATTGAGGAACAGACACCGAAGATTGCAAGCAGATTTTCAATGCGATTTTGGAGTAAAAGATGAGCACCCTAAGTGATTAGAAGGGAGTACAAGTCTCCTTGCATATACGTTCTCAAAAAAAAAGTCTCCTTACATATACAACTCCATCCAGTTGGCCGTCATATATACATGCATACACAGATAGTACAAGCCAGTAGCTTTCCTGGTTGGAAACATCACATTTCCATGCCGTAAGCATGAGAATACATACTAGTCACTAGGTTAATTAGAAACCATAACAATCTCGGATACAGTTATTAGAATCCCATTCTCTACTACGCTCTCTATTCTCCTTGATCAAGCCAGCAGCCAGTGATTGCAAGCAAGAGGCACTATTACCACCACAGCATAGGTTCCTAGGGTCCAGAGAACCAGAGCTTCTATTTGGACCAATGTCTCAGGCGCGGCCGCTTCTCAAGCTTGGCGCCCTCATGGACCTTCGATCTGTATGCTGTTGAATGAATGAGTGAGACCAATGCTTCCCCTCAAATTCTGGAGCTCTGCTTTGATTGTCTCTGAAATCTTGACCTCCTCAAGGCTTGACCTCCTCAAGGCCAGGTGAAGGCACATCCACATGGACTGAGCCTTGTTTTCTGGGACCAACAGAGTCCTGATTCAGAGATTGCTGCTTCATGTAGTTGTACAGCTGCTGGTGAAAAGGGTGATCGTACGAGTAGCAATCTACTCCATCTAAAGAGTCCCTGGATGAGCCTGGTCCTTCTCTTTTGCAAAAGTGCGGAAGTGACTCGTAGTCCATAACCTGCGGATGACCATCAACATTGTCAGTCAAAAACATGCAAATCAAATGATGGAACACTCTTGATTTTGGAGATCACTAGAAACTAGGAATGCGCTAGCCATCGAACTCACTCATCACCATTGGTGTCAGTTTTAGAACAGGCTTTGCCATGGATAAGGCTTCATTACATTTTATGAGCCAATGGCTGTGATGATGTAATAATGAACAATGGCTAACTGCAGCCCAAAATCTAAAGAAAGATGCGAAGTTGTTTCCAGTACTTGTTAAGCCAGAGGACCAATTATTGTACCAAAATGAGCAGCTAAGAGGCACCTATAAGCTCCAGAGCAGAATGGTTAGCAACAACTTTTTTTCTGATGCTTTACATAATCAATTCAAGGTTCATGTTAAAGCTCAACATTTCGAACAGGAATCTAAAACACGCCAATGGGAACTTATGGCAGAAAAACAGATACTGCTTCCAAATTAAAGGGAAGTAAATTAAGAATCTTTACCTTCAGTAACTCGTCCCTCCCAGAGCCATACAGGACTTGGATCTTCTTTTTAGTTCTTTCTTGTAAAAGTGGCTTCACAACCTGGCCATGAATAAACAAAACATCAATTGATTTAATAAACTAGAAAAAATGAATGTGTGAGAAAGAAAATATCAAACCAAAAGAGAGCAAATAAAATAACAAATGTATATACAACATGATAGCAAGGCAACTTATGAATTTTTAAACAGGTACACTGACCTTCCAACATGCTGAAAAAACATATGGAGCATTCACAATGTAATAAGTCTCCGTTTTCTCAGGATAATTAAGGTCATCAACAGTTGTAATCATGGTCAACATCTGCATATGGGGAAATATTGACAAGTGTTACTGCAACCTGTAAGCAATATAAGCATATATGATTGAAAAATAAGAAATGCACAAACAACAGCAGAAATAATGACACAATGAATCAAATACTGTTTTGATTCTTACCAAGCTACGCCTCAGTCAAAGGAGGTCCGGTGACTTACCATTTTATGAGCTTTAGGAGCACTCCATTCTCTAGCCTTCAGAAAACGCACCAAAGTCCCTCTCAGATTTCCTTGATGCACATTCTGCAAACATATCTAACCAATCACTTTTTGGTCATATTATTTGTTTTTTAAAAATATAATATCAAGTGTCAACAGAAAAAATGCTGTCTACTGATGAAAAGAACAAGATCAATAGTAAATAATAAAACTAAACAACAAATTGCAATAGAAATGTGGTGAAAAATACTTAAGCTAACAGAATGCAGCACCACAGTCTTGTGATGCCAGCAGGTTGACATAAAAAAGAAAGAAAAACATTGTTTCTTAGTGGGGCATATTGTGATTCCAGAGTGGTTGCACAACCACACACGTCCTCAGTCCTGAGATCAACCATGCTCTTTGTCACACTAATCATGAGTCATGACAAGGACTCGAGGACCAAATAAAAGTCCGAATCTGCAATTGAAACGTCTCCACCAGGAACAGTCCAGGCCACAGATGTTCAGGAACACGTCAACATCCAGGTCCACCTTCATCAGCACACGTCCAAATCAAACAAATGAAATTTCTCCGGCGATTGATTCGTGCTAGGTGAGATCCACACAGTGTGTGCACCATCCAACTACAAGCTTGGACAGAGTCCTCCCATGGGTTAAAGGACTAATTCAGCATGCAACACACCTAATCAATACTTTATATAATCTTGGGAGTACCTGACCCTAAAATATTTCTAGCATGCTAACACATGCTTCGAAAGTAGGAAGTCTAGACGGCCTCCTAGCCGGCAGCCAAGACCAAAATTAGTTGCGAGTCAAACAAGAAGAAAAGGAGTATTTGGCCTCCAAATGGAGCACTGGGAACAGTAGACGGCACCGACACCACAACTTTGTAGTCAGGACCCAACCAGAGGTACTACTTTCATTTATATACCTCATGACATATCGAAACAAATATCTCCGTATGCAACCCAAACAAGAGGAAAGGTTCATTTTCTAAATCGTAAAGGTGTTTCTGAAAGCACCAAATTTATTGTTGCAAAAACACTAACACAGAACAAGTTTAAGCTTTACGGCAACAAAAAGATGCTCTGTAAAGCACCAAGTTGAGAACTCAAAATCACTTCAATCCACAAGAAAGTCGAGTGGGGAAAAGACCAAAATTCTATCTCGGCCGAAAACTCGAAATAAATGAGCACTGACAAAAAGCATTCTTGAGCTCAAGCCATAAAATGAGCTTCTCTCATGAAACGAATCAAAATGAGTCGAAGACCCAAATTTGGTGTACACCGGACCAAATAACAGAAAGAAGTAGCGGGAGCAGGAAATAAGAGAAATTAAAGCACGCGAAATTTTCAATTTGATGGAAATTCCAACAGGATCGACAGTAAAAGGTCAGCGAAATTGAGCTCTGGACATAATCAAATTCAAAGATCTAAGCCCTACGCAGCTAACAGGACAACAGACTAACTCGCAGTTCTTCAGATTTTTTTTTAATGAAGAAGCGCTCGGGAGCACCTAAATCCGCAAAAATGCGAACTAAAGCAAAACTCGACTTCGAAACACGCGCAAAATCTGCAGGAGTTTTCGTTCAGAAAGCAACCAGAACCAAATCAGTCACAAAACGGCAGAGATCCATCAGGAACAGACGAACAGCGAGTGGAGCAGATCGACACCTGGACTGTGGTCTTGAGCGGCTCCTCCACTGCAAGAAAGAAATTTCCGCAGTTCAGTGGCCAAGAAACCCGAGCCAGAGAAAAAAAAAGATGGATCTTTTCCTAGTTCTTTGCAAAGAAGACGAGCACAAGAACAGAGGACTCACGCTGCTCCATGAGCGCAGAGAACTGCTTGATGGCCTCCTCGGAGGTGGCCGCCATTGCCGGCAACCGAAGACTTGGGGTCAAAAGCTGGGTCTTTTCTGCCTTTTCCAGCTCCCCGTTCCTCTCCTCCTTCCTCCCTGTGTTTCTCGCCTTCTTGTTCTGTTCTTGTGCGCTTCCTCGGCACACCACCAATCCGTGTGAATGTGTGGTGCTGTGGTGTCTGTGGGGCTCAGCTCCGGTGGTCTGCCGGTGATCGATCCTAGCTCGGGGGTCCCATCCCTCGAAAAGGATCAGCCGAGAGGTGAGTTTTTTTATTTCTCTTTTCCTTTCTATATATATCTATATATGAGTTTTATTAGGAGAGAGGTTATTAATAGGCTCGCCGCGGCAACGAACCAGCCACACTCGGCTTGCCAGCAGGGTAGCGCATAAGTGTGATCAAGGCTCTACGGTGGTGGCAGCCACCCGCCTCACGGGCGGAGCATGCGGCGCCACCCTAGACGGTGGCATTCGCCTCTCCGTCAAGTTCTCCATCAGAGTCGGAGCCTTCAACCCTAGTCAGGTCTTCAACTTTTTGAGAGCCTAGCTTACGTCGCCGACTACTATGACGAGCTTCACCTAATCAAGGAGGCTGAGCCGGTGGACAACGAGTCCTCGGCATCATCTCCTCCGCCAGGCTCTTGGGAGCAGATCTCAAGGTCCTCGCCCGGCAGATCCGACTCGGCTTGGGCCCGAACCCCACCATGTCGGAGCGCTACCAAATGTTCTACATGTTAGCAAACGTCCACTACCAGCTTTTGCCCGACCGCTTCTAGTACTACCTGCCGGACCTGTCGTACGGGATCTAGAATGCGGCGGCGGTGATCCAGCTCCAGCTGGAGCATCTCGTCAGCCGAGAGACGCCAAACGGTGACATATCTTCTAGTGGCTCATTCGCGCACAACGCCATTATGAGGGGAAAGCTATTCTTGAGAAAATCCTTGAAAATACCCCTTACACTGGAATTTATGACAAGTTTCCTGAAGAAGTTGAGTTAGGCCCCGATCAATAAGAGGAGGCACTTGCAACCGAATCTGAAACCCCTTCAAATCCCTCTCATGATCTAGTTGCCATAGAGCTCCCTATTAAAGGAACACACCACACTCTGGAGGATGGTGAACCTCATCCCTATTCATTTCCCTTTGAATTCGAAGAATACCTTTTTGAAGATTTTGGTAATGCCTCGAATTTACCCGTTCAAGTGAGACTTCTAGTGCACTCTGCACCTTCTGAGGATGATGGTCCGCACAATGAGTCCTTCCTTGTAGAACACATCAAAGGACTCTCAGCCATCATGAGTCGTGAGTGGTTGGCAGAAATGGAGTTATCCACCGAGGTAGCCCGAATCATTGCCCCATCAGATGTTCTGCCTTGCGTCCTTAAGGAAACTACCATAGAGGCTCACTATTGTCCGACCGTTGGGATGAATATTATTTCAAAAGCTTTGGCTAAAAACCTTTGCCCCAACAAGTCTTTGATCCCATCTCATAAGCTTTTAAAGATTATTTCGGGAGTTATTCTAGAAAGTTATGAGGTCATGAGGTCTATTCCTTTGCGCATAAGAGATTCTGAGTACCATCTAGATTTTCACATCTATGATGTCTCGTGCACGTCCCTTTTGGTTGGTCTACCCTTAGGGACACTCTTTCAAGGAAGACCCAACCAGGGTCTCTTGAATTTAAAACTGGGAAGTTCTCCTATCGCCATGTTGCTTGCACGCTCTAACAACGCGATAGTAGAACCCAAGCCCGAACAAGACCCTATTGAGGATGTCTTGGTGGCTTCTCTAGAAGACATGGCCTAACCAACTCTCGATGATGAAAACTTCATTCAAGAAGAAGAAGAGCTGGCAGAGCCTGTCAAACAAGACCAAACCGAAGTGCCATCACAGCCCTCAATTGAGCTAAACCCCTTCCTTCTAGCCTAAAATATGTCTTTCTTAATGACAACCGAGAAACCTCTGCCATTGTAAGCGACAAACTCTCTCAAGATGAAACTCGTAGACTTGTCGCTGTCCTAGAAAGACATAAATCCGCTATAGGCTACTCACTCTAGGACATCAAAGGGATTAGTCCCACTCTCTGCACTCATCGTATCCTTATCGATCCTGATTCTTCACCATTGAGGGAACCCTAGCGGAGACTTAACAATGCTATGCGAGAGGTTGTTAAGAAAGAGGTCCTCAAACTTTTGCATGCCGGGATCATCTATCCCATGCCATATAGCGAGTGGGTTAGCCCTGTCCAAGTAGTGCCGAAGAAAGGAGAGATGACAGTCATTGAGAATGAAAAGAATGAGCTTATCCCTCAATGAACTGTCACCGGGTGGCAGATGTGCATTGACTATCGGGAACTTAACAATGCCACTAAGGAGGATCACTTCCCATTGTCGTTCATGGCAAAATATTAGAACGCCTCACGAACCATTCCTTCTTCTATTTCCTTGACGGGTATTCCGGGTATCATCAAATCTCGATCCACCCTGATGACCAAAGAAAGACCACATTCACATGCCCGTATGGAACTTACGCATACCGACATATGTCATTCGGATTATGCAATGCTCTACTTCTTTCCAATGGTGCATGATGTCTATTTTCTCCAACATGATTGAGAAAATTATGGAGGTGTTCATGGACGACTTTACTGTCTATGGAAAAACCTTCACCAATTATTTGGAGAATTTAGACAAGGTCTTATAATGGTGCGAAGAAAAGCACTTAGTCTTGAACTAGGAAAAATACCATTTTATGGTCCAGGAAGGAATAGTGCTAGGACAGAAGGTGTCCGCCCATGGGATAGAGGTGGACAAGGCAAAATTTGAAGCCGCTGAACAACTACCACCTCCAACGAACGTGAAAGGCATTTGTAGCTTTCTAAGCCATGTAGGGTTCTACAGGCGATTCATCAAAGATTTTTCTCAAATTGATAGACCCCTAACTAGCCTCTTAGCTAAAGATGCCCCTTTCATGTTCAATGATAAGTGCCTTGAAGCCTTTCAAACTTTGAAGAAGGCACTCATTTTAGCTCCAATCATCCACCACATGATTGGAAGTTGCCTTTCGAAATCATGTGCGATGCTAGCGGCTTTGCTATGGGGGTCGTTTTGGGCCAAACAAAGGACAAAAGGCACCATGCTATATCCTATGCTAGCAAAACCTTGTCTGGAGCACAGCTGAACTATGCCACAACTGAGAAGGAGTTGTTGGCTATTGTCTTTTGTAACACCCCTGGTGTTACGGACTTAGTTAGCACTGAGGTTAAGCCCTAATAAACCCGCTAGTATACGTTTTCTAGGATTTTAAAATAAATTCTCACATGAAATGGTAAGGTGAACCTGGTGTGACTTACTTTTATGAATAAAAGAATCAAATAAGTGTTGCTAATCAATTTTTCTTTAGTACTTAAAAGCTTTTAAATAATCTTGAGAACAAAAGTTGTTTAGGATTTGTTTTGGAAAAGTACGAAGAAAGTGCTTAAAATGCCTGATAGCAATTCTTGCAAATAAATAGTGAGTGGCTTGTCCTATTTGATTAAGCATGAAAACAATTTTTATAAATAAAAATAAAATACAACTTGTATTTAGTACTTGAATAAAATTTGAAGTACAAGTTTAGTAGATGAAAATGCAACTTTTGTTTTGGTGAATAAATGTTGTTCAATAGTATTTTTGATAGTTCGAGAATTGAATGTGGAATTCAATTTTAGCTTCTAGAACTAAAATGACCTAAGTCTCAAAACCTAATGACGATGTTGTTTTGGCATTTAAATTTTGATTAAAATTTTTAAACCCTAGATCCATGTTTCTGCACTGTTGGTTGCACCCTAACGTGTACCTTGACATGGTGTAGTTTATCGACTAGTTTGGTTTTGCATTGGCGTTGCAAAAATTGCCCAAACTTCGTTAAAACAAGATGTAGACTATGTTGTTAGCGCTCTGTTCGCGAACCGGCGTTCAGCGTGACGAATTCATGTTGGCATCCTTTTTATCACCCTCTATGGTTGCTCTCTGGTCATGATGATTGCTTTGCTAGGTCGTTGTTAGTATCGGCTTTAGGTTAGTGGAATTGGTGGACCCCCGGTCGTGTTCATCACCAGCTTTTGCTTCGCTTTAAAATGCATGCACGACAACGATTGCAATCATTCGGCCTGAGTCCGCGGTCACCACACGGACGCGGGCGCTGCTGGCGGCGAGCCCATGCCATGGCCGGGCTATTGCCGCTGGCCAGCTTCTGCGGCCGGTCGCTGCCACATGGCGTCCCTGGCCCTGTGTTGGCCGATCTCGGCTACCTGTGGCCTGGCTCCCGCTATTGCTCAGTGTGCACGCCACACTTGAGTGGCTGGTCGTTGTGCCACGTGTAGGGGTGAGCTGTAGCTACGGCTGCCGTTGCTTGGCGACTGTGGCACTCGCTTCGCCCTCCAATTCACCTACCACATCGAGCCTCCGGGCAAGCGCCACTACCCGCCGTGTCTGGGTCGACTAGCCCCAGTCACAGTGGTGATGGTGATGCCTCTCTGCCTCGCCTTGCCCCACTAGCCGACTCTGGTGAGCCCCACTCGGGTCCTGCCACTACATTCCAAGTGTTTCGCGCCAAGCCTCCATGTCTCATCACCTGTGCGCACGTGCTTGTGCAGCCGCCATTGATCAGAGCCGCCCCGTCTTAACCTACTCAGGCTCACTCGTGTGCCCTCTCCACGACCGCACCGTGCGCGAGGTAACCGCTCCTTCTTCCCTCCAAGCGTCAGGGAGCTTCACCGCATAATTCCTTGCTCAAGTGGGTAGCTTAGGAAGTCGGCTAGCTGTCTCTTTCACCGCAAGCCCAGTAGAGCACTACCGACCGACAATTTGGCAGTTTGGTCGCCTCTGGTCATGTGCGTCGTCGAGCCGATAGGTCTGGGGGTAAGGCCCGTTGGGTTGATAGCAGTTCAATTGCTCGTAACCCCGAACTTGCCTTAGCTTCCTCTATCTGGTGCTCGCACTATTTTGGCTAGGGTACTCATCGGCGGTGTGGTGACGCG